CTTGAGCGGGCTAATGGACCGAACCACTAGTCGGGTCAGGCAGGCCGGGCTTCAAAATAACGGCCTAGGCCTAGGGTGTTAGGCTAGGCTCGGGCTCGACCTAACTGGGCCGAACCCACCTCGGCCCACGGGTGGACCTCATGTTGCCCACGGTCTGCGGGCCATTTTTATACCCCTACTTGTCACTCCAGAGTCTTCTAAAGATTAGTTTAGATTATTCTAAAAACTGTCCAGTGAAATGGCTTTAATGAAACTCACAAATTTAAGATAGTTATTTAAGTTCATTTTAATTTTCTCCAACATCTCAAATATAAATTACATTCATCACTAAAATACATTTATGAAATGAAGTAATTATAATTAAAAATATAGTCACCACTCATACAAAATTGTTTCATTGATCATACAACTAATCACACAACATGCAAAAGTGCTTAATTCATCATACAACCTACCAATGCAACATGCATGTGAGTAAAATTTACGTGAGGATAAAATATAGTGTTGTATAGGTTATGTTGGGCAGAAGTCATCTTGGGCTAGCATGTCTAACAAATATTGTAATGCCCCTAAAACATAAACAATAAATTAGATAGGACAAATATACCCAACACACGATCCTTCCTTGATCAACCAACTCCCTCAATTAATATTTCATTTCATAGACAAAGGATACAAAAGTGTTCATATGCGATACATATTCACCCTCTTAAAAAAATGAATTGATAGCATGTGTAACTATATAAAAGTAAAATAAATGAACAAGAAGTAGATGCCCTGAGGTTACAAGGTCCAAGGCTTAAGCCCGGTTACACAAAAAGGTTGTCAAAACCCAAACATATTAATTCTTTGGTTTGTAAATAGATCATACAAAAAGGAGAGCCTCTTGTCCTCAAATCACTCCACACCTTCAACTAGGCAGAATCACAACATCATTTCCTATACAATTCCAGAAGGGGTGAGCATAAAGCTCAGTAGAGATATTTTAACAAAGTATATATGTTTTACGCAATCTCATATATATGAATGTAATGTCATGCCAGGTTCAAATGTCATGCAATGCCATGCCAGATTCAAATGTCAAAGTTCTTCATTTCTTTCGAAGTCCATGCAATATTTCATTTAAAGTTCATTTTCTTCATTAAAGTCTAATTTGGACAATGGGGGTGGTAAATACGACTCAAGTAATCCCTAGGCTGGTGTCTGCAAGTAGGCATAATAAGCACTACCAATCCCCCGCTTTACTGTCTCCTAACCGGAAGGCACATGGTACCTTCTTCATGCTTGTTTTTGGCCTTTCACCCTGAACACTCAGGCCAACTTAAACAATATTAGTTACACCCCCAAACCGGCCTTACCAAACGTATTTATCCCAAAAAGTTTTCAATAACAACAGTTGTTTTCTCAAAATAATGAATTAATTTCTAAGCCAAGATTGTAAGTGAACAACATTCAAGATGATGCAAATGAATGAAATAAGAAATAATTGCATATAGATATCTCCTTTGTACAATATCTCCATAATTCTCACATTTGTTCAAGTAAAGCTTCCATGGTTCAATGGTTCTCAAAATCATGGTATGGTATGAATCCATGTGACATACAACATTTTCTCCATTCACAATCAACATCCATTTTCAATTTTTCCAAAATCCAAACATATACACCACACATTACCATAATTGTTCAACTAAAATTCTTATCCCTCTCATGAGTGCCTTATCAATACAACTACATAAGGGAGGTTCTTTCAATTTCTCAAAGGATTTAACATCAGTTTCATGAATATTACACTCATTTCACTTCCCCCTAGATTTCCCCAAAACCTAGGGTTTGATCCAAGAGAGGGTTTTTCCTTTATTTCCAAAGCAACTACAAGCATACATCCCCAAATGGTTCATGGTTCATGGTTCATAGTTCACAAAATAATTTATCTTGGGACAAATTATGAGAAAGAAATCATTTCTCTAACATTTTATAGGTTCAACATTTCAAAACCCAAACCCAAACTAGATGTTGAAGTGAAATGAACAAGATATGCTACAATCATATATATAACTCAAAAAAAAAAAAAAAAAAAAAATCTCTACCGCAAGACTTTGAGACGAAAAGATGAAAAGCTCCGAAAACAACGGCGTTAAAATTCAATCTCCACCGTACACAACGTAAACCTTGACGAGCTCTCCAAATTTAAAGAAGACACTAAGGTTAAAATCTCATTGAATAATGGATGGAGGGTTTTCTAGCAAGAGATGGGAGAAAGAGAGTGAGAGTTAAAGTAGAGAGAGTGGAAAGTGAAAAGTGATAGAAAATGTGTAAGGCTCAACTTTTGAAGTGATTTGACACTATTTTCGGAGCAGACTGCGGACAAATCGCTCAAGCAACCAAACTTGTGCTTGAGCGAACAATTCAAATTTTAGGTACCGCTTGACCGGAAAATACCCACTCCCAGAATCTCCACTCCCCTTCTGAAAAAGACCGCTCGAGCAAAGAACACTTGCTCCTAGAAGTTCAAACCACAAAATAAGCTACTAGAAGGTCGATTTCACCGCTCGAGTGACAAAAAGACCGCTCGAGCAGTCTTAATCTAAAGGTGAGACAAGTAACTTCAAAACATTTCTCAACCTTCCTGGTTTCTCTTCAACACTCAAAAGTACAAGATAACCTCTTGGAACACACTAAGATGTATCTATCGAAACAACTATAACGAGGAATGGATAACAACACCAGACTCAAAAGGTTCAACAATGATGAAGACAACATAAGGAATAAAAATTATCAATTAATGCACTCAATTTGTTTTAAAGAATTCGGGACATCACAAAGATTAGAGATACGAACACTTTTACAAATTAATACATGAATACACTCATATGTGGCCCACATTTAGTGATGATGCCCCATCAGATATTATGAGTGTATTAGTATGCTTATTTGTTGCTAATTTTGAGTAGAAATTTTTCTATGAATTAGGAAAGTCACGTAGCTGTGTGTTCATTTAACGGTATCGTGTTTTTTCTTCATCATTTTCTTAGTTTTAGTCCCAAGTAATTATTAGGCTCATGATATTGATTGAGCACACCGGTAATGAAAAATTCTCGAAAAATAGAATAATTATTAATTGAACATTCTTTATTTTTTAGGATAAACTACGAATAGATTTGAATAATTGGACTTAATTCTCACCCAGTCCTAATAAAATCGTCACTAAAAATATTTTTTTGTGACGGTTTTTTACATATCATTAAAAATTGACAATTAATGATTTTTTTGTCATGTTTTTATTAATTGTCGCTAAAACTTACAATTAGTAACATTTTTCCGTGACAAATTTTGGCAAACTGTCGTTGAAAGTTGAAAATTAGTGATTTTTATTATGAAGATTTTTTTAAACTGTCGTTAACACTTGTAATTAGGGACAATTTTCAAAATGTCACTAAAAATCAACAATTAGTGACGTTTTTAATAGTGTTTAAAAAATACCATTAATTATCATAAAACATATTAAACAATAAATTTATTTAGTAGAATCTAAACATAAGTCGCTATTTTTTATGTGCCAAGTTGTAGTTGACAGTTGTTGAGCTTGTTGGATTTTTTTTTTTTTAATTCTTCTTTTATAGAAAAAATTATTATACATAAAATTAATATGGGTTGTCATGCTCTACAAAATTTTCTTATCAAGTACCCAATCAAATTTCAGTCTCTGTGTGTCTGAGTCAGCCTCGTATTGTATGTGTCATTACGGCATTAGATTGCAAGATGACATGGGAAAAGAGGAAAATTTCTTCATAAACCCAAGCAGTGACGGTTCTAATTTTTATTTTTATTTTTATTTTTTTAAATCAGAATAGACAATCAATAAATAACAATGTTATGGTGATCATTATTTTATTATTATTATTTTTGTTTTTTTTAAACTACAAGACAAAAATAACATACAAATAAATATACTAAGGGAAAGAATGCCTGGGTGAGAATTTGAACCTTACTTGGAAGCCTGGCCATACGAAAGCCCAACTACTGGGCTAGGCCATCAACTCTAATGACCAAATATTTTATTTTTTATTTTTTAGAGGGGATTAGTGACCAAATTTGAATACTAAAGAGTTGAGTATGCATAAGAGACATAAAAAAAATTGGCTGTTAGGCTTTGTTTTGATTATAAATTTTGGTAGAAATTTGAAACGAAAAAAAAAAATTGTCAAAGAAATGAAGAAAAAATTTAACTTATATTAAACAGTCTTAAATAAATGTATTATTTAGTTATCCAAATTCTAGTATCAAAGTTCCAAAACTTAAATTTTACAATTAATTGAGGCCAAAGTTTAATTACCGTATTGTGGTTTGGTTCATGTGCAAGAGACTCCTTTGTCATTTAGAAAGAACTATATTACACTACTAAAAATCAGACTTTTTGCGACGGTCTCAAACGTCGCAAAAGGTTCATATATCGTCGCAAAAAGACTTTTTGCAATGGAATAGCGACGGAAAATGGGGGGTGGCAGAAAGGGGTGTGACAAAAAGTATTTGTGACGGTTACAAACCGTCGTTTTCTTGTAGCGACAGCTAATCAATAGTTTTTGCGACGGTTTCGCCTGACACAAAAAAAGGGAAAAAAACAGCATTTTTAGTGACGATGTTGATTGCCGTCGCAAAAAACCTTTTTTAGCGACGGTATTTGCCGTCGCAAAAGTATTATTAGCGGCGGTTGAAAACGTTGCCAAAAAAGTAGTATTAAGTTAATATCGTATTGGCAACAGTTTAAACCGTCGCAAAAGATTTATATGCAATTGTTGAAACCGTTGCAAAAGATTGGAACTAATATGTATATGCGACAGGTTAACCCGTTGCTAATAAAATATAAGGAAATGAGAATTACATTAGCGACAGTTTATTATTGTCGCAATAAAATTATTTTTTATAAAATCATATTTTATTAAATATTCCCTATACAAATTATTAATATTTTCTAAAATACATCCACATCCACATCCAAATTCACATTCAAAAAATCATATACCAAGAATAATATATGTACCTTGTAACAATTGTCAACCAAATATTCTTTACAAAAATATATAAAATAACCTCTAACAATACTAATAATTTTTGATATTCAAGAACTCAAATTTTTAGTATCGACAACAGAAATAAAAAAAATAAAAACAAATATAGTGTAGTTTGTTTTGATATCAATAGTAAGCTCCCATATCGATATGTGAAGATATCACGTACTCAAAAAGGTTTGCATCTGCAAAAAGAAACAAAAAAGAAAAAAAAATCATCATTTACAACGTAATTATTTTCAAGTTTACAGAAAATGTAAAACATTTGATATTTTTTTCAATAAATAAATAAATAAATAAGATTCTAAACTCTAATATCGATATGCGAAGATATCATCACATGCTCAAAAGGGTTGCACTTGCAAAAAAAAAAAAAAAAAAAAATCATTTACAATATAATTAATTTCAAGCTTACAGAAAATGTAAAACATTTTATATTTATTTCAATAAATAAATAAATAAGATTGTAACATATACATGAATCGAGCGCCACACAATGTATCTTCCCATAGTTTCTCCAACTGTTCTTAGACATCGGGATGTTGTTTCCAAAACAACGTTCGGCTTGGTCGTTTTTAAAACAAAAACTTTGCAATATTCAGGGCCAATTGGAACTCCATCAATTTCACACAACAGATCGACACTAATAAGAAGTCCCTCCGCCAATTGGACTCTTGGTATTACAGAACTCTCCAAAGAAACTTTAATTACATCCTACAATGATGATAATACCATTAAAAACAGGCAAAGATTGTACACATTGAGCTATAATCTAACAATAATCGAATAAACACAAAAAGAGTTTGTAACGAAGAAGTTTTCATCAAGTTCCGTCTTCTCCTACAAGTCATGTGTGCCAAATATGTTGTTCGTGTCAATTTTCGTTGACTTCCGAACCCGTTTGAGCATTTTAGTGTGTCAATCAGTTCGAAAAAAGAGTTTGTAAAGAATAAGTTTTCATAAACGGAAATTAGCCTCCAAATTCAAAACTGGGAATCAATTTCGAGTTTCGTCTTCTCCTACAAGTCATGTGTGCCTAGTATGTTGTGCGTGTCAAGTTTTGTTAACATCCGAGCCCGTTTGAGTATTTTAGTGTGTCAACCGGTTTGAAAAAGAGTTATTAAGAAATAAGTTTTCATAAACGGAAATTAGGCTCTAGATTCAAAATCGAGAATCGGTTTCAAGTCCCGTCTACTCCTACAAGTCATGTGTGCCTAGTATATTGTGCGTGTCAAGTTTCGTTGACATCCGAACCCGTTTGAGCATTTTAGTGTGTCAACTGGTTTGAAAAAGAATTATTAAATAACAAGTTTTCATAAACAGATTGACCCCTTGATCTCTCAGTTGAGAGTGTACAAGTGTGCACGACTGAATTAACCAGTTGGTTGGTTGATTCCCTCTCTTATTCTGTACCTTATCATCAATCCACTTATCCCTCTCACCCTCATTTCCCTTTCAATTCCCTTCCCTTCTGCATTTTGCTCCTTTTAACATCTTTCAAGCTATTAATTTCAAAATTGGATATCCTTCATAGTTTTAATGATTTCATTATGAACAATAGTTATCTAGTAGAGGATTTATAATTTTTTTTGGCTGAAACTGTTTAGTGGCTAATTTAATTTCATTGGTGTTCCATAATCTACTTTTTTACAGATAGAACTCAAGTCATCATTGTAATGAACATTTGATTGAAAACCTTTCTTTATTTTATGAGAGTTTTTTTTCTTCTAAAAAAAGCAACGGTTTGCTTTATTAGCACCATTGTATCAAGGCTTTCCGGAATTCCCCTCTAAGATCGAAAGATGTGTTCCTCGGCTCATGCTTCAGGCCCTGTCAACAAGGCATGATTCCATTGTTTCTTTTAGAGTCTGTCACATACTTAATTTTTTTTTGACAAGTACCTATAGTATAGTGTTGCTAGGCTTCAAGTCAAGTTCATTATTACTTTTCTATATAATAGGGTATTTTTGGAATTCAATTTTCCAGTTTTGGTGTGTACGTAATCATTTACAGGATTTAGGATGTGGGCTGACCTTACTAGTTGGGGACCTAGGGTAAATCTGATAGGTAACACGGTGGTTTTTGTTGACATTTTACTTGGCTTTCTATGTTTGAGCCTTTAAGAAAGTGATGTATTTGGCATTGTTTCTTTTTAATGTATGCATCTCGATTAAGTGCATGTCCCTAAAATTGTTGGTATGATTGTTTACGCATTTATGCCTCGTAGGCTTCTATACTTTGGTAGCTTCATGGCCAATAGTGATCAAAAAACTTTGGGAGGAAAATGATAATAGGCAAAATTTGTTGAATAAGGTGATGTCACACGGGAGAGTAAAATTTATTGAGTGGCTAGCCGTAAGGAAATGTTGACAATGTTGTCTACTGTCACCTAGTTCGCTTGTGTTTGTGGTTGGGATATAGATAAATATGCAGGATTATTAAGTGGATAATGAAGGTCAGTTTGAGGTGATGAACTGAAGGGATACATAATGTTTTGATTGATGAAAAGGCTGGAGGAGGTCACTAGGTCATTCTTGGAAAGTTTGCAGGCAAAAAGATTGAACTAAGAATTATAGTAAGAATCATTGCAAGTTGCTTAAATCAGAAGGTTCGAAAAGAGGTGTGGTGAAAGAACAAATAGAAACACATTGCAGGGATGAATGGTTTAAACAATATTCCTGCTGCTGTTGATTGCATCATTATCAAGAAATTCAACACTATCATGAAAAAAGATTGGCGTCCCACTCACTTAACTACCACTAAAAAATCAAGGTTGATTTTTCTCGAAGGGAGTATGATGTAGACCTTAGAAACCCTAACCAATTGTACATTTGAAGAAAACAGAGGCTCAAAATTTGCTTGATTCAAAGCAAGCCTTACTTGGGTGCTGTACTTAGATTTGTTATTTCACAATTTTTGGAGCCCATTTCTTTAAACTTTGGCTAGGAACAAGTTTTAGTTGGTTTTTGTAATAGAGTTCGGCTGGTATCAATTCTTAGCTTTCACAGGCTTTTGTTTTGTGGTTTTACTTATTTGTTTGGGTAGTTTGGTGGCTCTACACATCCAAGTCAATGTTTTACTTGGCGCTCAATCGTAGTTGAAAATCCATATTTGTTTGCTTTGAAGTATGACTTTTGGTGTGTAAACAAAGCTGAGATGAGCCATGTATAGTGGTGCCAAAACTCAGCTTGCTCACATTTACATCTTGTTTCAATTTGTTCATTCAAGCTTGAACCCAACATACAAGGGTCTGTTCAGTTATGGCTTGGTAATTTGTAAGGAAGCTTAATTCAATTAGCTAATTACTAAAAGAGAAGAGATTTGCAATTGTGTTTGTAATGTATAATCAAATAAATACAGCACAAAGAGAATGCATGCAGAAGATATTGGATTAGCCGTTTAGCTGAAAGGAAAAGAAAGAAAAAGTAATTGCAGAAAGTTGATAATAAGAAGAAACATAAGTTACACATAGAAATCAATGGCTTTTAACTTCACTTTGCCTTCTATCTTTACATATTCAGCTAATTGCAATCGAGGGTTTATGTCACGACCCGAACCCGCCCCCATAGGTTAAGGCCATAACCGGCCAGTAATCGTGAGATTACCTACGGCCTCAAATCAAACCAGACAAAACTCATCAGAGTAAAGGGGCCAAACGGAAGCAAATTTTAAACTTTGTCCATAGAGATGTGCTTACATGGCACATCATAACAATCCATACGAAAACATGTTAATAACTCATGTCAAAAAGATACAGCAACATAAAATTATGTACGGACAAGATCATTCAAACGTAAGTCAACCCGTCAAAACTATATACCACAGATGCAAAATCTTCACCAACATGACAAAATATAAATACACAGCAAAGGGACGAAGACGGGTCTCGTACGTGAGACGCAAGGGCTGACTCTCCAAAACTCGGTTGTCCCATACTGACTTCACTGAGGCTGGGTCTGGACCTCTCTTGGCTCACCTACAAGCACATGAATGAGCGTGAGCGATAGCCCAATGAATAATATCAAATAAAGAATATGCATTGGAACAATATACATCAAATAGCCTCGGGCCCAATTTGCGTTTCTAACTAACACATACACACATAGGCATATGTAAGTTAAGTAACTGTGGTTCCAAACACATCATACGGCCTCGAGACCAATTCATTCGTTTCATTGTCAAACCATTACTCGTGTCAAACTGGCCTTCAGCCTTTTCAAACTTTCATATCAAATTGGCCTTTAGGCCTATTTACACTTTCGTGTCGAAACGGCCTCTGGCCCATTCATTCATGTCTTGTCAAAACGACCTTCGGTCCATTCATTTATGTCAAAACGACCTTCGGTCCGTTCATTTATGTCAAAACGACCTTCGGTCCATTCATTTGTGCCAAAACGGCCTTCGGCCCAATCATTTATGTCAAAGCGGCCTTCGGCCCATTCATTCATGTCAAAACGACCTTCGGTCCATTCATTTCTGTCAAAACGACCTTCGGTCCATTCGCTTACGTCAAAACGGCCTTCGGCCCATACATTCGTGTCAAAATGGCCTTCGGCCCACTCGTTCATTTCAAAACGACCTTAGGTCCATTTATTTCTATCAAAACGACCTTAGGTCCATTTATTCATATCGAAACGACCTTCAGTCCATCCATTCGTTCATGTCAGACTTTTGTCCACAATCCCAATTAGCAACTCATAAAGCTTATAAGGAAATAAACAGTTGGACATTGCTAAGCTTTCAAATATTGATATTACTCACAGTGATCGGCTTGTGGATTTGCCCTAGAACTTGACCCTACACATTTCATGAACACAAAAGGGTCACTAACAGTTCAATCCGTTCTTTAATTCACACATTTCTCTTTAAGCTTTATTCTTATCTCGTTAACTCATTTACAATGCTCAATGCATGCCTAAGAGTGCTTACAAGTGAAAGAGAACGGAAAACGAAACACAGAACGAGCATACAAAATTTCAGAAAACAGGGTCCACGCTCGAGCGTGGACTTACCCGCTCGAGCGGACCCAAGAGGCCTGCAAAAGTACTGGTTACCTCAAAATTACGCTCGAGCGTGAGTTAGGGCGCTCGAGCAGGAGGCTTGTCTATAAAAGCTCCCCGCTCGAGCGTTAAATATCCCGCTCGAGCGGACATCAAACTCTGCAAAAAGTGCTGGGAGCACGATTTTCCCGCTCGAGCGGCAATCACCCCGCTCGAGCGGACATAAAAAATCTGGGTTTTCCCGATTGAGTTCTTGAGCTCCCTTCAACATTCAAACCATCATTTCTTGCCTTTAATGGCTCCAATTTCACATATACTTGTACTAACATGGTATAAACACTAAAACACATCTTTATGGAGCCCAATTTCATAAATCAAATACATGCATGGCTCAATTCTATCATACGCATTCATGCATTCAAAGCTCCTATCTTTAATTATTCAAACATGCGTGCTAATCTTGACTTCATTTCCATTCCAAATAATGCAAATGGTGTTCATTCTCATGGAGCTCAACAAAACATGCTTGCATGTATGATTCAACATTTACCTTTCCATATTCAACTTAATACATGCTTGATTATGCAAAATCATGGTGATCCTACACATGCATGTGCACATTAGCTTCAAATTCATCAATTGTAGCACAACTCTTGTTCTTGATCGCCAATTAGTCTTTAATTCACAAAATTACAAGTTCAATCTCATGAATTTACTCACCTAGGAGTTTAATCTTCCAAACCCTAGTCAATTCTTGGACTTAATCTTCAAGATTCCCAAGCCTTGAGCCAAAACCACACAACTCTCTCCCTTCTCTCTCTAAGGCCGACCCCCCTCTCTCTCTCTATTCTTGAGTTCAAAATCAGCCAAAGTGTTAAAAAGAGGAGAAATTGAAGTGTAATGGCCCTTATGTATAAGCCCACTAATCAAGTTTAATAATAATAAATAATATGACACTAATTCATTAATTAAATCAATGTAATCTGGCCTGAATCAGTTTTTCAATTAAATTTCACTGTAGGCTCTAGAAATTATGCCAATCACAATGGCGTAGTCAATTTCGGGTTCTGTGGCCGATAAGGCCTCCAATTTAATTTCCGAAGCGGTAAAATCAAACAGATGTTCCTACGGTGAACAAATAGAAATTCAAAACCACATATTTTCACATAATGGCATACAAAACCATAACAAACACATAATCGTATACACATTAAGGACCAATTAGCATAATAGGGAACAGGGGTATCACAGTTTAGGTAACTGAGATACAGTTTTACAAACCTTAGCCTTGCAGTTTTGACTAATTGAATAATTGCATATGTTCTTGGGGGATACACTTAGAAAGAGAGAAAATTTGACATTGTGTATACTTATAATGATATGCAGGTCGCCTATCTGTGTGTGTGTAAACACTAAATTATGATAAATACCTACATATTCCTTTTGATTATTTTCTTAAATGGTTTGAAATTGACAATACTAAATTATGATAAATACCTACAAAAATATTGTTCTATCTGGAAGTGGAAGACTAGTGGAAAGAACAAAAGGTAAAAGGTTTGGGTAATCTATACTATTTCATTTAGTTTCTTTTTTCTTTTTTTTTTTTTTTTTTTTTGCCCTTGTCATTCTGATGTAGACTGATATGTACATCCTTTTTAGCTCACATACAAGGTGCCTACTCTTTACTCAATCTGCCCCTCCCATACTCACATCCATTGGGGATTAAACTGAGTGTACTTTTGTTAATGTTGATATGCAAAAAACAAAAACAAAAAAACAAAAAAAAAACAAAAAAAAAAGAAAAGAAAAAAAGAAGCAGATCATGAGAGATGTTTGCTCGTCGGTGTAAATATGTTCAGCTTCTGCCCTTCCCTTTCGCCAAAAGAGAAGAAAAAAAGCATAAAATATTGTATGCTGACTTTGTTGTCCATTACTATTATAGAGTTTGCAAAATGTCATAAATGATATAGGGGAGTTTTTAAAATAAAATAAAAATTCTAACCTGTGATTTTAATTGCTTTGAACTAGAACTTTTAAATTAGTCTCAATTTAAACCAAAATTATATTTGTTGAAAGATAAATTTGTCAATTTACTCACTATACCATAAACCTTTCATCACCATCACTAGTAGATCCTCCATCTCACCGCCACAAGCTCAAAGATCGATCAAAGGAAGTAAAAATATGTTTCTTCATTGGAAGTTGTTTAGTGTGGTACTTAAAACCACCCCCCCCCCCTCTAAAAAAAAAAAGAAAGAAAAGAAAAAGAAGAAAAAGAATGTGGCATATCTTTGAGAAAAGAGAAAAATACTGGTAAGGCTTTTAGTTGGTTGTGATCTAGATGATGGTTATGAGAACATTAAGCATATATAACCATCTTCTGATCCAATATATAAGCATCTGCTCTACCCCCCATATTTTTTGAGAACAGTAAGCTTACTTAACAAGAGTTATAAAGTAATAAGTTTTCATAAACGGAAATTCAGCTCCAGATTCAAAACCGAGAATCGGTTTTGAGTTCCGTCTTCTCCTACAAGTCATGTGTGCCTAGTATGTTATGCGTGTCAAGTTTCGTTGACATCCGAACCCGTTTGAGCATTTTAGTGTGTCAGCCAGTTCAAACAAGAGTTATTAAGTAATAAGTTTTCATAAACGGAAATTAGGCTTGAGATTCAAAACCAGGAATCGGTTTTGAGTTCCGTCTTCTCCTACAAGTGATGTGTGCCTAGTATGTTGTGCATGTCAAGTTTCGTTGACATCTGAACCCGTTTGAGAATTTTAGTGTGTCAACCGTTTCGAAATAAACAAATTAAGTAATAAGTTTTCATAAACGGAAATTACGCTCTAGATTGAAAATCGGGAATCAGTTTCGAGTTCCGTTTTCTCCTACAAGTCATGTGTGCCTATTTCGTCGTTTGCGTCAAGTTTCGTTGACTTCCAAACCCGTTTTAGCATTTTAGTTTGTCAACCAGTTTGGAGAAAAAGTTACAAAACGACAAATTTTCACAAACGACAAGTTTTCAAATTGTTTGAAAGTTTACCTCATCATTTGGTGGTGGTGTATGTGGGTTCTCATCGACGTCATAATCCGTAGGTTCACAGTGGCCACTCAATGCATCCGGTAGCTATGATATTCATGGTATTCTTTGTTAATCATATTTATATTCAATGATACAATTGTGCTACAATTAGATATTTATAAAACATTTATTTATATCGAACCTGTTTGTTGTGATTTGTACTCCTTTCGTGGGACACAATAGCCAACATTTCAGCTTTCATTTCTCGTATATGTGTCCAAAGCTCTGTTCACATCTCCTCCCTCAATTTCTCTCTAATCTCATCCCTCAGCTCTTGTCTCAACTCCGTACGAACCTGCTCTGTGATCTTAGCAATAATCGATGACTGAGATCCAGACTGTGATGACTTAGATTTATCTCCATACACCATGCTCCAAGGCACATCCTTGCCGTAAGTACGACAATATCCATGCCCATCTTCACCGACCACGTCGTGGAAAACACTATCTCGAGCATCTTCGGTAGTGCGGTAATCTTCAAGCAACATGGACAATTGGCTCTCAAACTCATCTTATAAATTAAAATAACAAGTACATATACATAATTAGGTAGTTCAAACAAAATCAAATATAAATACAAATTTAAGGATTTGAAAATACCATGGTTTGCCTAACATCAGGGTTAGTTTGATTGCGTGTATATTTCCAAACACTCATTTTATCCGTGGGCAACCCTTCAGCAATCATCTGAAAATTCAAAAATTAATTATTATCGCAGTAATTTACATTCATATTGATATTTACCTAAATAATATATACCTTCCTTCGAATCTGAGTGAATGAAGTACGTCCTGTTGTATGATTAATATAATGAAAGGAATGACTTCCAGCATTGTGAACTGCAATGTCCTATAAACTTTGCATAAATGTAAGTCGCAAGTAAACAAAGTTAATAATTTTTCTAAAGATACGTGCTTTGTAATTAACTTATTTTATGTACCTCTACTTTCTTAGTCTTCCAATAATCAACAAGATCATACCACTGTTCTGGAACAATTTGCAGAGGCACCATGTCTTTGATATTAATATGATCCTTGTTAGGCTTAAAATACTTATTCTTGATCTTGCTTTTGTGATCCTTCCACAAATTATTGCACTTTTTCAAGCAACATGGTTTGTACCCCTCCGGACAAATTTGTATATTATCCTACAGTACAATTTAAATCATTAGTTCAATTAATAATATAATTAAAAAATTTAGTAAATATGCTTTTACCTTAACATCCGCCCATATTGACTCAAGAACATCAATAGGCACTTCAGTCCAATTAATGTACGTAAGAGAAACAATGTTCCCATTACGTACCATTAACCCAAGTTGGCTAGTTAACTTAGACTCATTATCTCCCGTAGGATTAAAGTCGACATCAAAATCAATGGCCAACTTCTTGCCCGTACCCCAATCTTTAATGCCTTTCGCAAATCCTCGACCTCGGGGGGAAGATAAAGAAACTGTAGGGCATGTGAGGAGTAATGAAGAAAAAAACACATATTACAAAAATTGATAATAAATAACTTGTAATTGAATTAATGTAACTAGATACATAGCCATTTGTTATACCTGAGTTGGCTTGTGAATCAGTCGCTAGATTTGGAACACATTATAAGAATCAACAAATTATATAAGAATATAATAAACAACATATAAATTAAAGCATAAATTAAACCATAAATTAAATACATGAAAGCAAACATGTACCTGAGGTGGGATATGAAGAAGTCGTCAGTCCTAGCATATGAAATTAGAAAGTTCATGTATAGTGAAAATGAAATAATTTAATTAATATAATTTAAGTACATAACAAATTTGTATACCTGTGGTGGCCTGTGAAGACAACGTTGGTCGAGACAATTATGATGGTGGTGGTGGCTATATCGGTGGTTGTGATGGTGGTGGTGGTTGTATCGGTGAGTGTAATGGTGGTGGTGGCTGTATCATTGGTTGTGATGGTGGTGGTGGCTATATCAGTAGCTGTGATGGTGGTGGTGATTGTGTTTGCATACGCAAAACATCAGCCATAGTGTGAGAGGGATTATTAAGCTTCCTCTTTTGTGCCATAACAAGCTATAACAAATAAAATTGAAAATATAGAGAATAGTTTGGAGTTAATAATGTAAATACAAAACAAACATAATAAATAAATTGGAAGCACATAAAATTGTTAAATAAAGTAACATGCCTAAATATGCAGGTCATTAAAGCATGACAATTTACTATGTCATTACAGAATCCAAAAATTATTACAAAATATCTTAATTCTCTCTCATTTCAACATCAACAGTTTCTTCTTCTGTGACTTCCCTCACCCAGCCAACTTCTTCATCACGGACCATTATATTTTCTTCTAATTGTTTACTCATTTATGGCTCAGTTTCTGGATCAATAGAATACATATCAAATAAACCCCTTTGAGACAATCTGATTCTATAGGGTATGGAATATACCAAACTTGCTCAGCTTGGGATACCAAGATGAACGGTTCATTGGTGATTTGATCATCTCGATACAACAAATGGTTGAAGTTAATCAACGTGAACTTGAAATTATCTTCTTTCTTCCCCCGAACATTGTCAATCCAGTCACACTTGAACAATACATACTTCATTGCATTGATGTACCAGATTTCAATGATATTTGTCACTTGTCCATAATAGTACACAGCCCCCACACAAGGATTTTTATCCTTCCGGCTTGCATAACTAATAGTATCTGCTTTCAAAGCTACACCAGAATTTTGACTGGCTCGACGGTCATCCATAGACTTGACTCAAAAATGGAACCCATTAGTTATGTAACTGGTGAACCTTCTTGCTCCGTTATGAGGACCATTTGCCAATGTATGAATCTCTTCAGAAAATGTGGCATTATCAGTCCTTCGCAAAGTGTGAACCTATTTAAAACATGAAAGCAAATTTAAAACGCAAATCGACCTAAGTTGTAATATATAACTAGATTTGTCCATACATACGTGTTCTTTAAACCAAGTGTGAAAAGTTTTGACATGTTCATTTCGGAGTTGATGATCATCGGCACGAGGCATTTTCATCTTAAGTTCTTCAAGGTGTTTCCTATACACATTGAAAAATTATCAATTACAAATTAATATTTGAAATGTAATAAAAAACAAAAAAAACTTGGCAAATATTGAGCAAGAGGGGTACCTACTTTAGGAATGGTTCAACTGCTTTCGTATTGAACAAGATATATCGATGACACTGTACATAAGAAGTATAACCAAGGTTAAAAGTTGTGGTTTCACCAATGGGACCACCCGTATTAGCTGCACCATTGTAGTTCCTTACAGGCCGATTCAATTTAGTTTCCACATCATTCAGATATTGAGTGCAAAAATCCATGCATTCTTCCATGAGATAACCTTTAGCCATTGAACCTTCTGGATGAGCCTAATTACGTACATATTGCTTTAAAGTAAGAAGATATCTCTCAATTGGATACATCCATCGAAATTGAATCGCTCCAGCCACCAATGCTTCATCACCTAGGTGTATAGGCAGATGCTCTATTATATCAAAAAAAGCTGGTGGAAATATTTTCTCCAAATGACAAAGTGTTAGTGCTATACGACCTTGGATATATCTTAGATCTGTTTGACAATTTACTTTGGAACACAATTGTCTGAAGAAATTACTTAATTCAATCAAGGCTTGCACAACATTCTTAGGCAACAATCCTCGTACACCCAAAGGAATAAGTTGTTGTATCAGAATATGACTATTGTGGCTCTTTAGACCCGAAATGCTTCTATCCTATAATCGTACATGATGAGAGATATTTGATGAATACCTGTCAGGAACTCTAACGTCCTTAAGCATTTGCAAGAACAAATATTTCTCATCCTTGGTCATTGTGAATTGTGCTGGTGGCAAATAAGCTTTATTCGTCTTTCTTGACTGCAAGTGTAGGGGTTTTCTAATATTCATTTCTTGCAGATCGCGCCGAGCATTGACATTATCCTTGGATTTCCTTACAACCCCTAGTATTGTCCACAATACATTGTCACATACATTCTTCTCTATATGCATCACACCAAGGTTTATGTCTTATTAGATTGTGCTCCCAATATGGCAATTCAAAAAATATACTCTTTTTTTTTTTCCAACTATGAGTGCGAGGTCCAGCTTTCTCCCTTTCCACTTGTCTCATATGCCTCTCTTTAAGGTCATCCAGCTTATATTGGGTTAAGATACCCTCAGATTCTACTTGTAGCAAAATCACTGATCCAGATAACAATCTCAGTTTGAGACTCAATTCCCGAGTAGCATCAAATGATACTTTATCCTTTCGAAATTTATGACCGCTAGGTAGGAATCTGTAATGACCTAAATATGAATATTTCCTACCATGTTTCAACCAACACGATCTAGTTTCCTTATTGCAACATAGACATGCATATTCTTCTTTCATGGTCCATCCTAACAAGTTCACATATGCTGGAAAATCACTAATTGTCCATAACAAAGTTGCATGCATTTGAAACATTTGATTTGTTGATGCATCAAATGTAGAGACACCGTCAGTCCATAGTTCCTTCAACTCCTCAATCAACAGTTGCATATACACATCAATTTTGTCACCAGGTCCTTTTGGGCCATCGATAAGTGTAGACAAAATAAAAAATGGTTGTTTCATGCACATCCATGGCGGTAAGTTGTATGGAATGAAAACAACAGGCCAGGTGCTATGAACTATGTTCATTGATCTGAATGGGTTAAAACCATCAGATACTAATGGTCAAAATCTTTCCATGAAAGGGAGTTAGCAGGATGTCTTAAGACACCATCATCTTGTCATTTCTCTGCATGCCATTTCATGAGCTTGGCCATTTTCGATGACATAAACAACCTCTACAATCTTTGCTTCAAAGGGAAATACCTCATCTGTTTAGAGGGTATCTATTTACCGCCGCCACGAGGAACATTTAAACTATCACCTCCATTTTGTTTCCACCTAGAACTTTTGCGTATGACACATTCATCAAGATTGATGTATTCATTTCGAAACAACATACAACTATTGGGGCATACATCCCACGTTTCATATGTGAAGCCCAAATCTGTAGTGATCTTTTGAGCTTTATAGTAAGAAGCAAGAAGTTTCGCACCCTCAGGGAAAGCTTCATTCAACAACTCAAGTAACATGGTAACAGAAGTTTCACTCCACTGATTTAGCACCTTCATATGTAAAAGTCGAACAATGAACGACAAAGATGTGAACTTCTGACAACCCAGATACAATTCACTCTGAGCATCCTCTAAAAGTTTGAAATAA